GCTACGCAATCCTGACGCGTGGTTCAGTTTGCGTTCTTTAGAACGTCCTGTGATCAAATTTTGAATGTCTTTTTCAATCTGATACATCTTGTGATCAATTTTTTGGAGCACAGCTTGACAGGGCACAATTCTGTCTGTTTAAACCTAATTAGTTCGCTGATTTGACAATGTAATACTACGTTAACACATTGTCTTTAATAGCAAATTAATTAGGCTTAATAAATTCGTCTATAGGATTATCGATGGATTCCATAATTTTTATTAGTATCCGAACACCCAAGGTGACACTCTTATGTGACACCTGATATGACACCCTAAAACTTTACACCCTAAATTTAAACAAGGCCTTAAAGTAGTGCTCCAATTTTGCCGTCTACAATGAATTCACTGATTTTATTATGGGTCCGGTTCGCTTGAGTTTATCAATTAGAATTAATCCTACTTTTCAGTCATGAAAACGATGTTTTTCTCTCGCAATAAATCAGCTCTACAAACCAACCAAAACAGCAGTAAATTCCACCGAAGAGCGCCATGGTCTGGCCATCCAATTGCTTCCCCAATAGAATTTGGCACTGTCTGATTTGATATGTGAGACAGATCTTCACGCCTACTGGCCATCCAAGTGCTTTCGTGGCAATAGCCTCATTCCCGAGCCACATGTCGAGCCACATGTCAAGACTCAAGACTACAATTCTCCATGTACTCCTGTATAAAGGGCCTGATTGCTTTGCTTTCAAAATTCGCCATGCTAATAATTTAGCAAGTTATAATTTGGCCTAGTATTTAGTTTGCTATCAAAACTTGTCAAACTCTCATATTTGGCTTTGCCAAATCTATAGCAATGTTTTTTGCCTAACTTTTAGCATGACAAAATTTGGATGCCAACCAGACAGGCCCAAACAATCGTTCATCCTCACCAACAAAGTAGCCAAGTGGAGGAACAATGTTTCACCTTTCCAATTGTCTCCATTTCAGCTAGGAACGGGCGATCACCTTGGAACTGATAGCAGATACTCGTAGCCAGGGGCGGATCCAAAGGGGGACTGTCAGGGCTACAACCCCCAGTGAGCCTGATTTCTTCATTAGACCACGGTTACTTAGCCTTAAATCACCATTAATCTCTAGCTCTAGCCCTAAATCTTCGTCCTGTTCGTTTGGGCTTGTTTGGCTAATAAGCCATGACTGAAAGTACTGTTGGCTGATTTGGTGTGAGAGAAAAATATTGTTCGTTGGCTGATAAGCTATGACTTATAAGCCAAACACGACCAAGCGAACATGCTGCTTTATTATTTAACTCCCCCTTTGTCCCCATCCTGCATCCGCCACTGCTCGTAGCTGAATGCTGATAGTGCCATGCATAGTTTGCAATGTGCACCCAAACAGAGTTTTTTTTTTTCTGAAGAAAAGTTGGCCACCATGAACCCTTGAGGAAATAATGCCCTGTAGACAGCGCCAAAAGAAATCATGCTCTTGTTCAAATAGAATTTAGGAATCAGGGGTTCCTACAATTTGTACATCCTGACCAATTTTACAAATGCTTGAAGTTGCTATTATAAAAAAAAAGTTTAGTGCAATAAGAGCTATTGTATTGAAGAATAATTTTTTAAAAGGGGAAGAGGCCTTGAAAACATTTTATTTTGAAAAGTGATAAACACTTTTCATACCAACCAATTGGAACCTGTAAACTGACAAGTGTCCAAATTACATTTTAGAGCAGTTTGGTCTTCAGTCTTCACCATGTGAAGTATTCTCTCGTTCCACGCTGCCAACGGGCCAGACCCAACACAGGTTCATCTGAAGCGCCGCCGACTTTACACCGCGGCGGTGGCCCGGCTCCAATCTTCGACGTACACTGGTTCCTGTGATCTGCCGGGCCACAAGCCGGGAGCCCGGGATCGATTGCTTTGTGTATGGTCGATTACAGAAAACGGGCCTCAGAACTGTAATCCATCCTCGAATGTTCACTGGATTCCCAGCCCATGGTTCAGCCCACGGCCTCCGCCGCAGCATCTCCGGGGAAAGGAACCCTAGCTCCATCCCTCCACATAAATACCTCCTCGCCTCCACCATCGCCACTCTTCGCGCCGCCGCAGCCCCCAAACCCTCATCCCCATCACTCTCCGAGCACCCCGACCACCCCTCCCTCACCCGGCCATGGCGGAGCGCGGCGGCGAGCGTGGCGGCGAGCGCGGCGGGTTCGGCCGTGGCGGCGAGCGCGGCGGGTTCGGCCGTGGCTTCGGGCGCGGCAGGCGCGGCGACCGTGGCGGGCGCCGCGGCGGCGTCGTGGTCCGCGTCAGGAGGAAGAGAAGGGTCCCCGTCACCAAGCTCGGCCGCCTCGTCAAGGAGGGCAGGATTAACAAGATCGAGGGAGATCTACCTCCACTCGCTCCCCGTCAAGGAGCACCAGATCGTCGAGACCCTCGTCCCGGGGCTCAAGGACGAGGTCATGAAGATCACGCCCGTGCAGAAGCAGACCCGCGCTGGGCAGCGCACTGCCGCTTCAAGGCCTTCGTCGTCGTCGGCGATGGCGACGGCCACGTCGGCCTGGGAGTCAAGTGTGCCAAGGAGGTGGCCACCGCCATCCGCGGCGCCATCATCCTCGCCAAGCTCTCCGTCGTCCCCGTCAGGAGGGGGTTACTGGGGTAACAAGATCGGACAGCCGCACACCGTGCCGTGCAAGGTCACCGGTAAGTGTGGTTCCGTCACCGTCCGCATGGTGCCCGCGCCCAGGGGTTCTGGCATCGTCGCCGCTCGCGTGCCCAAGAAGGTGCTGCAGTTCGCTGGCATTGAGGATGTCTTCACCTCGTCCCGTGGCTCCACTAAGACCCTTGGCAACTTCGTCAAGGTACTACTACGCTCTTATTCATATTATGATGTGATGCTTCTATTATTCTATACATTTGCAATACTGATATCTGAATGAGCTTATGTGAAATGTTGAATTTGTGGTGTTCACTTTATCAGATGATCAGTTAACTTGGTACTTCAGAAATTGTTGTTTGTATATTAATTTATTTCTTATAGTCTAAAGAGCTGGCCACTAATGTGATATGATAATTCTATTATTGCGATTATGAAATTGCAGCGGACACTGACTATATAGTGTTGTTATGATTTACCTAATTCGTTCAGAGAAATTTCTAAAATTTGACATCTAAAGCCTTCCAAGATTTGACACCCAGACCCACATGTCAATGGCCGACTCTAAACGTCATTGTGATATGAGTGTTAAATCTTGAAAGGCTTTTCGGATTGGATGTTAATTATCAAAATCTCTTCTTCATGTTACTCGTAGAATCTGGTTCCAATTCATATCTAGATGTACTAGTTTTGCTGCAATTTAAGACTGGTTAGACCCCAGAATCTGGTTCCAATTCATATCTAGATGTACTAGTTTTGCTGCAATTTAAGACTGGTTAGACATTTATTATTGGCTGTCTACTTTTCTAGCACCAGATTCTACCTTCATAATGGCCCGTATTGGAATTTTGTATGAACTTAGTTCTTGAATAATGTAGTATCTAAAGTTACAACCTTTCAAAAAAAAGTTTTAAACTTTACGTAACATCATTCTTTAGTTACATGTACTTAGCTTGTGAATCATACAGTATCGAAAATTCTAAACCAACTAAAAGTCTGTTCTGTGGTTACACTAACAGTTGACCTATTAGCATATATTAACTTTTTTTTGGTTCTGTTGCAATTTAATCCGTACATTCTTATATAGATGTCTATTCAGTGCCATTTAGTAGTCATTTGGTTTGGTTATGTGCAGGCAACCTTCGACTGCTTGATGAAGACCTATGGCTTCCTTACTCCTGAATTCTGGACTCAGACCAAATTCTCCATGACTCCATTCCAGCAGTTCACGGACCTCCTGGGAAAGCCCACCAAGGGTCTTGTGCTTGAGGCCCCAACTGAGACAGTAGAGGCGAGGGATGGTTGAGTGAAGAGCTCTACTCGTTGGGAGTTGTCTAAATGCGCTTTCTATATTATAGTTAAGAACTGTGGGAGTCAACTATGGGTTTTGTTCTGCCCTGGATGTTGTTCTTTACTGTCAAGTTTTGGATTATGGTACTTACTATGGTACTTTTTATCAGTGAATGCTACATAATTATCAAATGATAGTCTTTTTTACGGCGAAGGCTTTTGGAGGCTGGTGTTGGTTGACTTGAATGCAGTTTTGCTGTTAGGTGCCTTTGTGCTGTGAATGCGTTGTGTGACCTTGCTAAGTAGTCTGTGCGCTTTCTCTTTAGCAGAACTTGAGGCATTGATGATGCTCGACTGCCTACTGCTCCATTGTCATTTGTTGCAGTTAGCCTGATTTTAGTGTTCCATAGCTGGTCATCAGATTTTATATTTATCTATCCTTATCTGGTTCTGAAATTTTATGTTTTTGAAGGGGTTGCCATGTTTAAATTTTTCTGTGTCTGGATTATCATGTAAAGTTTCATTTGAGTGGTACAAAGCTATGTCATCACCAGTCTATTTGTGTGAAGGATTTGGGTTTTTGTTTTTGTAATTTGTAATATTGTGATTCCGTTGCGTCATTAGCTGCTGTTAGCCTAGAGCAATTTCTGGGTTCTCTACTCTTGGCTGGTTAACAAGCATATGCGCCACTTTTCGCGCGCTGGAATTGTCATGCGTTCTTGATGGCCACTTCTCAGTTCTCACGCCCTGGAATTGTCTTGCTTGAGGCCTCTTTTCGCGCTCTGCTTTGTTGCCCTGCAGCTGTCCACTAGACACTGGTGGTGGCACTGGCACATACGAGTACTACTTTTCAATATCAGTACTCCATGAGAATTGAGTGAGAAGAAAGAAATACGCAACGTGCCTGGCCACCGTAACGCTGTTTTCCCGGGTACTCGTGCAGTCGTGCTCAATGTGCATATGCCGTCCATTTTTGTTGCTTGCACGCCGGTTCTTTGTTTGAACCATGCTCGCAGGCAGCCTTGACGGGCCAGCTACGACGAGGTGCGCCAGGGCCCAGGGGAACTGGAATTGCTGTGGCCAAGTCCTGAAACTCAAACTGGCAAGCTGCTGCCGTCCCGACTTTGGTCGTCTCAGGTTCGCCGATCCCGACGAGGTGCTGCCTGTAGACGTGCCCATGACACGCGGGTCCGCCCGGGAATTCCGGTCAGAATCTTCGCCGGACCGACGTGCCTGGGCCTCATCTGGCGCTGACGCGAAAAGTTTTTCCCCGAGGCTGGGACGGCCTCACGGCCGGGCGCCCTGGGCCTCAGAAAATTTGGTTGGTGAGAGGGAGTCGCAGCCAGGGCAGCGCGAGAGCCAGCCACGAGGACGGAGCGAGCAGGCGAAACAGCACTACAAGTCCTCTTCTCCCCTGCGCCACTTGGGTTTCTTTCTTTCTTTTATACCACACCACACCGCCGCCGCTAGCTGCTCCCTGATCGTCGACCAGGTTTACAGGGGAAACGAGCTGCGGCTGCTGCTGCTGCAAGAACAGGTACGCAGACAGCATGGCCGGAGTCCAGGTGACGCCGGCGGCAGTGGGGGCGAGCGCCGTCGGGCGGTTCGGTGTCAGGGGTGGTAGCACCACCGGCTTGTTCGCCGGCGACTGGAGGAAGGCTCGCCGCCCGGCGTGCTCGGTCTGGGCGCTCAGGCAGAACCGGAGCAGCAGCAGGAGCAAGGGCGGCCTCGGCATCGTCTGCAACCTCGCCGGACAGTACGAGGATAGCTTTGACGACGTCCAGCGGGTACCTCAATCTAAACTAGTAGTTTCTTGCACTTAATTTCCATCAGCTTCGATTACTTCTGCTAGATTTTCTTGTACCGGTTCTTGCACTTCTTGTTCATCAGATGTGCTGATCGACAGGCTAAACGCAGAGAAAGTATCGTAATGTTCTTGAAACGTAGCAACGAGATCGAGGGAAAAACATAGGATTTGTTTTGATTTTCTGAGACCAAATTCGTTTGGTTCATTTCAGTTTGAAGAAATTCAAGGCGCTTCCTTTCGGCTGTCCTTTTCCCTGAACTGAACTTTCCTCCTGGCGTTTGTGGCTGCAGCAACTGATGAATTACTTCACCTACAAAGCCGTGAGGACCGTGCTGACCCAGCTCTACGAGTTGAACCCACCAAGCTACCGTTGGTTCTACAAGTAATAATAGCAAACAAATCCTCTCTGTTCTACTCTGAATTCTCCCTGCTCATAAACATGCATGTTCTTATTTCCGTCTGCTGTAGCTTCGTTGCTGTCAACAAACCTACTGACGGCAAGCATTTCCTCCGTGCTCTCAGCAAGGTATACACACACTACACGTATATATCCAAAAAATTCCTGTGCGGATCTTCTGCCGCTGCGAATGGAGCTCACGCAATTGCCACTGCTTATCTTGCAGGAGAGGCAGGAGCTTGCTGAGCGAGTGATGATCACCAGGCTTCACCTATATGGAAAATGGATCAAGGTAACCAACCAAAGATAAGCAAGTGCTGCTGTAGCCTGCCTATTGCCGACTTATTTGATGACTGACATTTTGGTTGGGTTCTGGATATATAATCTGTCTGTCAGAAATGTGACCACGCAAACACGTACGAGAAGATCTCTGACGAGAACCTGACGCTGATGCGAGAGCGGCTCATGGAGACGGTCATCTGGCCAACAGACGACACCAACACAGAGAAGATCGGCTGATGCCTTCCGAGGCGTGAAATTATTTTGGGTTGCTGATCAAGCTTAGCTCCTTATATTAGGTAGAACACTCTGGGTTTTGTGTATCTGTCAGTCAGCCAGTCAGACAGTCAGTCAGTTGTATATAATCGGAGTTGTAGTAGAGAGTATACATTTTCCTGGGCAGTGTTCAGGCAATTAATATTTGAGGTGTTAACAATGCTGTTTTGCCCTCCCAAGTCTCTACAGTTGTTCTAAGGGAAGCAAAAAATACTTTGCCTTGTAATTTGTATGAATAATGAAAGCTTTGGTTCATTTCAAAGTTCAGACATTGTCTTGAATTCGTCTAGAGGTCTTTATATTTTTCCATTTTGACTAGTCTAGCCACACCATCCACATACTGCAGGCTACATATCTCAAGCTGCATGTAACCTTACAGGACATTGGATTTACTAGAACTGGGCATGTATTCCTAGAAACATCAACTGCTGCTACTTTCTATAAAAGAAGATACAGGAAATTTACATGAATGAACCAAACGAATACTCCTTAGGAACATATGTATCTCACTATGGCTAGGTGTCTCTACACTCTATCCGTACAGGCTACAAAGTACAGACAACTAAGTTCACTTGCCCCCCTACTTTGTGGCAGCGCAAGGCTGTGGAACAACCAACCCGGATTTTCTCCATTTTGCATTTTGGCAGATGCTTTCTGTGTTGCCCTTGCCGGCCTTCATTTTCAGGTCAATGTTCTTTAAGGTAATGCCATGGCATGGGACACATTCTTGCTGCAGTTCATCTTGATGGCATGCTTGGTGATGGTTGTCCCTCTAATGTTCTTGAAGACAACATTGCTAACCTGCACTGCTGATCTTTGTTCAACGCATGGCTTAGCCTTGTCACAGTAGTGCTGGTCGATGATTATTGGGTTCTTGACACCGTACATGGCCATGTTTTGGAACGTGATGTCCTTGGCGTACCCACTTCCTCCCTGGTACGTCTTGATGCGTGCTCCGTTGGTCGCACCGTGAAGTTGCACTGAATCTATGGTGATGCCGGAGACTTCGGCTCTCGAGTAGTCGTCTCCTAAGCTCCCAATGCTAATCCCGTGCCCCGGACCACAAACAACTTTAGAGACATGAAGGTTATGAGTCCCGTTCTCGATCGACATGCAGTCGTCCCCTGTAAAATTCAACAGGAAAAACAAAATCTGAGTCCACGAAAGTTTGAAGATACAATGACATGTGTTCTAAACGATGCAAATCAGGAACAAACTACTTACCGGTCTTGATCTTGCAGTTTGTGACCCGTACATCATTGCTCCGAGTGATGTGGATGCCGTCAGTATTAGGGGCTCGTGGCAGGCGCTGTCATGGATAACCGTGCCAATAGCACATCCGTGCAATCCTCGACTGACATGTGCATCTGCTGGCTGTTCACAATTTTCAGATTGTCCACTCTCAGATTGGTGCAGTAGTGGAATGACAAAGCCGTTGGAGCTTCCTTGCAAGGCTGAAGAAAAGAGAAGCCAATTCAGCTAAGTCAGGACACTCGCCTCCTAGTAGTAAAGCACAAGCATACAAATATTCAGATAAACAAAAGGGTCGGCCGTCGGCGCCACACACTACTTACCAGTCTTGTTGATCTTGCAGGAGTGTGGCCACCATTTCTGGCAGTTGCCGTCGATGGTGCCACCGCCATTGACGGTGAGCTTGTTGACCCTTCGGAACACGATCCAGTGCCTTCTGTCCTTGTCGCTCCAGTCCACCCCTGTCCGGCGACGCCACCAGCGTGCCCTTCACCGTGAGCGTGACGCTGGACTTGCACGGGCCACGGAGGGTGACGAGCTTGAGCAGGTAGCGCCTGCCGTTGGGGACGAGCACGACGGCCGGGCGTGGTGAGGCCCACGCCGCCTTCCACGACATTTCTAGCGCATGCGTGTCGTCGTGCCTCCTGTCGCCACGGGCGCCGTAGCGGTCGAGGCTGAACACGCTCTGCGACGAGCTGTCATTGCCCGCTCCTGCAGCCTCAAGAATGGCGGACATGAAGAGCAGCGCGAGGAGAGGCGCCATGAACGTACACAAGCTTTATCAGCTTCCCTCTGTATGCCATTGGCAGAGCTAAGCACGCTGTGCAGGACCTGCAGGTGGTTAGCTGCAGCCCGGACTTTGAGATCACAACAGAATTGCCAGTGCAGCTCTTGTTGGAAGGCTTGCTCAGGCCGGTGCCGGTGCTGGTGCTGGATTGGATGGTGACTTGGTGAGTAAGCAGCATGCCCACGGCCGCTTATATAGGCGCACTGAGGAGAGCTTCTGCGTTGCTTTGTGAAGAAGAGCAACGCGGGAGAGTTTGGTTGGCAGATCAGATATGTGCAGTAGAGTGTGCATGTGCATGCTTGCAGCCACGCCATGCCCATGCGTGCAGGTATCGATGGATCCGGCCCTGAGATTCTTACGGCATGATCGCAAGGAGATAAATGTGCCGGAATCATATTAATGGCTGAATTGCTTGAGTCCACATGCAGGTTTTCATGACGAAAAATTCTCAAATCTGTTTGCTTGCTCGTTGCAATTGTAGTCTGTGTGCGTTTGTTCGATCTCAGGTCAAAGTCCATCTGATTCTATGGAGCATGAGGCCCGCACGGCAGTGAAAAAAATTCAGTTAGGCATCTGTGGAACAACCGAACCATGCTATACAATGCCCGGAAGCAACATATATCAACGTGTCGATGATGATGCAATCTGCTACTAGTATATAAGCACCTAAGCCAGTTCAGTGAAAGAGTCAGATTGTCAGAACACTCTTATATTATGTGTTTAATTTTCATAGCCAATCTGAATGTCACTACACGATACTTAGAGAAAAGGTAATACTAATGGAGTAACCATGTTCACATTTTTTTTCGGTATCTTATTTGTACGATCCAAAATAAAATCACATATATAAGAGAGTCACCATTTATGTAAAATGAATCCTGAAAATTGTTCCTTGCATATTTATGCACTTAAACTCTTCTTGTGGATATAATAAAAAGGTGAAGAAAAGGAGACTAGGCACCAAATATAATTGGTGAATTTTCTAGCATTTAAGAAAAATCTACTAATATAGTTTTCAAATATTAGAACTCAGAACAACTTAATCTTAATATTACTACCTAGAGGTCTTCACTAGAGGCTCTACCACTCTATGTTAATTCTTATGTGAAACACAAGAAAAAGGAGATAAATTCTAAAATTTTCACACTAATTATAAACATCTAGTCTTTAATTTGGTAAGCTCTAATGTTATCATTAATAATAATTATTGGATATTTGGATATACTTAGTTTTTTTTTCTAAAAATACCCATCTCCGCCATTATAAAAAATACATAAGTAATTGCATAAGCTTTCGTCTAAATTACCTACATTTGCGATTATGAAAGATAATTTAAAATATCTCTCTAACTTGCATCTAAATTACCTACCTCCATCATTAACGATAATTTTAAATAACCATTGAATTATATCTAAATTATCCACCTTACCATTATTAAATATAATACAAATTAATCCATAAATTTGTTTTTAATTAACCATCTTGGCCTTATGTTTCTAAATACCCAGTCTAGCTATACAACCTTTAAGTTCAAAGCACACATAAATGTCATGTCTCACCGTGTATACCAAGTGTGCATGCGGCAAGGCTTGGCCTGGTCGGCAAGTGAAGTGACCCCAAGTTTGGTGACTCAAATAAATGCACTTTAATATTTTATGAATGAAATTGATCCAATGCAAAATGCAAAGTTTGAAGACTATAACCAGTCATTTTGATAGTCTATGATGAAACTGCGCCCAAAAATAATTTTTCTCGAACACGCAAAAGGCTTGCGCGTCTTTGTATTAAGTAGAAAGGAGTTTTGAATTACAAAGGCAGCGCTTTAGGGGGCTCAACAAATTAGAGTGAAGCTCATGCCCTCCCTAGTGACCAAAACGACTATTTTGAAAATTCAAGGACGAAATTGAGCCTTAGGCGATGCTAAGGAACCAAATTAACTATTTCACTGTTTATACTGGTTATATTAATATATAAAGCTCTCTCTTTCGATTAAAAAAAATGTCATGCTGAAAAGTTTTCGTGATAAGCATCACTCTTGGGGCGCAGGTCTTTGCCGAGGGCACTGAAGCCCTCGGCAAAAGGCTCTTCAACCGTCGTGTGAAGGATTTGCCGAGGCAGCCTCGATGAAGAACCCTCGGGAAAAAAACGTCGGCGAAGGACTCTTTGCCGAGGGCCTTTATCGGGCACTTTCGGCATAGTATTTGCCGAGGGCTAACGTATGCCCTCGGCAAAGTAAAGTAGTCGTTAGGTTCGCGGTTATTTTCCACGGTGTCTTTGCCGAGGGTGACATCTGTGCCCTCTAAGAAAGAGCTTTTTTTTGAATTTATTTGCCGAGAGCTATACCGCGCGGGGCCCTCGGCAAAGACCTATTTTCTTTTTTTCTCGGAATTTCTTTGCCGAGAGCTATATCGAAGGCCCTCGGCAAAGACCTACGTTTTTTTTGTCTCTGAATTTCTTTACCGAGGGTCGTGTTCAAAACCCTCGGCAAAGACCTACTTTTTTAATTTTTCTCAGGAATTTCTTTGCCGAGGGCTATGGTGAAGGCCCTCGGCAAAGACCTATTTTTAATTTTTCTGGGATTTTCTTTGCCGAGGGCTATGGTCAAGGCCCTCGGCAAAGACCAGTGAAAATTTTCAACATTCCACCTGTTTCTTGCTTTCCATGCGGATACAAAAAATATATATATATATATTCAATGCAGAAATATCCCACAAATATCACAATCATCACATATATCTCACAAATATCACATATATCTCACAGATATCACATAGATCATCACATGTATCATCACAAGTCCAAATTCAACAATTCCATAAGTCCACAATCTAACTCAAGTGTCAAGTCCACAAGTTCAAATCCGACTGAGGCTGGCCAACCTCTCCAACCGTCTGGCCTCTGCGTCGAGGGTGGTGTAACGAAGCCTCCAGAATCAGGTGACGCACGAGGGGGGTTATTGGAACCCGCCGACTGAGGCTGCACAAACAATTATATGCTTATGTGAGATTGCAGTAATTATTCTAGGACTACAGTTTTAGTATTTAGATGAAACCTATCAAATTTTTTATAGCTAGTGTTGTCTCTGGTTTCTATGTCATACAAGCAAATCAAGAGCTAGTGTTCTCGGGTTTCTATGTCACACAAGCGAGAAGTGAACTTTAACGCTTACGAGGAGTAGCTGCAAGCGCGTCGCGGCACTCGAGGCGGAGGAGGAGCCGACATCTGCACAGCACACCGTCTTCCGCCCAAGAGCTTGCATGATTTGCATCATTTTCGCAATCCCGACCTCCTGGGCCTCCCGGCGGCTGCTCGGCCTCCTCCCCAGCGGTGAGGGCCGTGATCTCGCGCCCGTCTTCTCGAAATTACGGGCCCGCAATATTGCACTCCAATATTTGATAATGCAAAACTAACTCAAGTGTGAGAATATTAATTTACGACGAGTAAAACAAGAATTACCTCGAGCGCATCGACCCGGCTGCGGTGTCGGAGTAGGCCGTGAGCGTATGGGCTTGGCTGGAACTCGTGCTCGTGCTCGGGCTGGCTCGAGTGGGAACAGATGGTGGGGTCGATGGCGGCGTTCGCAATCCACGTCCGGCCGTGCTTCGCCGCCACCGAGCCTCATGATGGCCTCGGCATCAATGGGCTCGGTGCGGACGTCAGATCGCCCTACGGCCGTGCCGCTTCTTTGTACCGCCGACGTGTACTCACGGACTTTAGTGTACACGTTAGGGTCGGAGTATGCCTCGCGAGGGGCAGCCGGGTCCCAGTGACGTCGCCGGGCCACCCGGTGCGGTGGGACATAGCCCACGCCGGAACATCGAGACATCCTCGTCCGGTGCGCTTGACCTCTGCGAGAAAGGCGGGTGGTGAGCAATCGGGCATACGTTAAGCGTGAAACTAAATAGAAGAAAAATCACTTACATATGCCGATTTGAACCGGGAGACTCCTGCGCCCTTGATGGTGAGTGGCGGTGGCACGAGCATACGCAGCGGTCCGCCGAGACTCGTGCTTTCTCTATGTAGGCCGGCGTGAACCACCTAGCCACGATCATTGTCCAAAGCGTCGGCATGCGCCGGCACCACCTGGGGAATCACCTACATGTCAACGAGTGTTTGACATATATGAAGATGAAATTGAACATATTTAATTCAAAAACAAAACAATATCAATGTTATTCATGTATCTCAAGGTCTCGCTCACGGGTCGGGTCATCCGTCGAGCCTCCCTCTTGGTGATTGTCATTCTACGAGCCGACGATAGTAGTCTATGGGCTGGACGCTGGCGCCTCGTGAAACATGTCGGTGACATACTTCCCTACTGGTTGCATGCGCCACCACGATCAATGAGGCCCTCGGTTCCTTCTTGCCCCGAAAAACCTCTCGCATAAAAGATGATATATCCAATCGTTATTTGAAAAAAAATAGAATTCAATGTGAAGGATTGATTAATGTTGTGCGAGAGGAACTTACCCAAAACTCAGCAAGTATCCGCCTCGCTTGTTGCGGATATCGGTAAGTCCCTCGCCTGTATGCACTGTCCCCACATGTAGGCGCTCTCGGGCCTCCGACGGCAACTCCACAATGCCGGGGAACCACTTCCGACACAACACACCCAAGGCGGTCGCGGGGAGAGCGCAGAGGAGTACCGACAACACCTCCCAAGCCCCTGCACAAGTAAGAAGAAAATTTATCGATTTCTCTTTCGATTTCAAACATATCATATGAAGTAGTTGTGATATCATTTATATTTACTTACTTGGGCGGCACAGGGCGAAGCACTAGACGGTTCTGAGGAAGCGGAAACGAAGGGAGCGTCGCCGGGCCTCGCTGGTAGACACCCGACGCCTCGCCTCCCTCGTCCTCGGGCGCCGCACCCTGCTCCTCCTCGACCTCCTCCTCCTCCTCCGTCGGTGGCACGGGCTCAGGGGGCTGAGTCCGCTGCCTCCTACCACTGCCTCCTGTCGTCTGCCTCCCCC